CCCCCCTTCACTACAACCCATGTCTAAGCAAAAGCTCGTCGAGGAGCGAGGGGAAGAAGGGAGAAGATAGTCAATGGTTCGGCTCATAGGTTGGATTTTGGTTTTGACATTTTTGGTTTCGGCATTTTTGAGTTCTTGTCGCCTTTTCTAGTAATCCAAATTCCTTGAGCAAAACACAAAGTACCAATCTATCTTTTTCTATAGACATGGATTTGTTGTGTGATATAAAGAAAAAAAAAAAGGAGGACGCTTCCCACACCCGCTTCAAGAAAAAATCAACGGGTAACGTACCAGCACCATGCACTACGCACCAGGGCATGGGAGTAACGGAGCAAACAGGACAAAGAGGCGGCAGATGGGCAGACAGCTAGACGTGCAAAAACAAAAGCAACAGCGAAAGCGAGATCAAGGTACACAACACAGCAGAGTACAGCAGTAGATGGCTACATAAATTGAGTGCGCCATGCAGTGCTGCGGTCATACCTCTCCGCCTAAGGTTCACCTGCACTCCAATGATCGTTCCAAGCGGGAGGGACATCGGGGCCCGGTGTCCATCATTCGGAGTGATTACGGACACAGGAAGAGGCTCGGTGCTGTTGAGCATCTCTGCTGCGTACGCCGCGAAACTTTTGTAGTGCCGCACAAAGCTCTCTCCCGCATCATGTACGATAACGCTTGGCTTGTTGCCCCTTAGCCACGTTTCGGGGAGGGCCGCTTCTTGCCTTGACCGGCGTCCCCCGAGCCACCACCCGATCGACGCCCCGAGAACGAAGGAGACACACAACGCCGCGAGGGTACCCGTAGCAGCAGCGGCGCATGCTGCGCAGGGTTAACAACATCTCCTTTGCCGCTTGTTCGAAGTACCCCGGTTCTGCGGATGGTGTCTAGGCATCCCTCCTGTTGTTGTGCTTCCCCCAAACGATTGTGTGCGTGTGTTCGTAGGACTTGGGGGCTCGTGAACCCGGCGGGGAAGGCAAAGCTGTTTGATGATCTGCTATACCTCTACCGGCCCGGCATCACTAGAACGATCGGAGTAGGAGGCTTGTCTTCACTCCAACGAGTGGCGTGCCGCCGTCATAACTGCTGAGTCCCTGGAGCACACAGCAGCTGGAGTGCACAGGTCGCTTGCTGTTTCCATCTCCGTCGAGGTCATCCAGCAGGCAGGCATACATGATCGGTTTCCGGGGGCCCTTTTCTCGAACGGTCGGTGCGATACCTTTTCTTTTCTTTCTATTATTTTGTTCTCTTTTTCCGGGTGGTTTGTACCCTATTTTTGTTTTGTTTCCTCGCCGTGTCGTATTTGCCGGGTTTTGAGACCACGGGCTCCCTATTTTTTGTGGACTACAGAGTCCCTGTCTCTGTGCGAGTTTGTTTATGTCCTCGTCTGTCTTTGTTGTTTTTTTTCATTTTTTCATTTTTTGCCTTCCGACAATTGCAGGCCCTTGTGGTTGAAGGTGGCAAGGAAGTAGGAACAGGGGGTGGCAGTGTCGGGGGTCTGGGGGAACATGGGCTTGAATGGGGGTTGCGTCAGAAAGAGCAAGACGGCGGATGTTTCTCTCTTGGTGTGACCGGTGGCAATATCGATCAGCAATGCCGCACAGACTTTTGCGCGCCGAAATATGCGTGCGACAGCTTTAACCTAACCACTTCGGTGGAAAGCGGATTTCTGTTCAATACGGTGTCAGGGGTACCAGGGAAGACGGGACCGAGTTTTGTTTGATTTCGGGTGGATGAGGTTGGGGTTTTGTTCGTTTTTCTCCATCTAAGGTTCGTGCCTAGAGTTCAGCTGTAGTGTTTCGACAAAAGTCCATCTAAGGTTCGTCCCTAGAGTTCAGCTGTAGTAGTGTTTCGACAAAAGTTTTGTTGACTTAGAGGCAAACATTCCTAGCTATTGGGCATCGAGTTAATTTGGCTTGGCATGATGGCCTTTACGATCGACTTTTTATTTATGTCTGCATTTATCTGCAATTGTCGGAGGGCAAACAAAATAATAATAATTGCAGATGTACCTAAGAAAACTTTCACTTAATGTCTCATACTCTTGTTGTTGTTGTTTGTCTTCACATTAAACCGTATGTCAGTTGCTAAATGCCAAAATCTAGCAAAAGACTCTCAGCCCGTGGTCACGAAAGTGCTAGAGCCATCTGAGGGCCGTTTTAAACTGACCGACTTTTCGTCAAAATTTTTGGAAGTGTCGGAAAAATGGAACCTGTATGTAGNACGAAAGTGCTAGAGCCATCTGAGGGCCGTTTTAAACTGACCGACTTTTCGTCAAAATTTTTGGAAGTGTCGGAAAAATGGAACCTGTATGTAGGCGTTTGTCCATTTTTTTC